ATAAGTGAACATGTTGACATAGAAGGATGAAGAATTGAACATAAGGAGGTGCTAAGAAACCTCATACTAATCAAACCTGTCTTGTAGCTTTGGAATATTTAAGACTGGAGATAATTTTCTCTGACCTCTTTTGTATCTCGTGAAGTTGAAGTGCTCCCACTTACCTATAATTGATATAACGCTTGTCTTTTACTAAAATATGACTTTCAGAAATTATTTCAGCACATCAACCAGGAAAAAAAAAGAAAAGAAAAAAGAAAGAAAAGCCACCTCTTTTCTGTCTAATGTGTGCCAGTGGCTCATCTTCCTTGTAGTTAAAGGTTTCTGACTAATTTCTTTTTCAAATTTATCTGGTTCTTGTCACAACTTTCTCAGCAGGATTAAAGAACTGCTTAGTACCTAGTTTATTCTCCACACAAAGGTACTTATGCACTGCTGTTAGACTGTCCCCCAGTCATCTTTTTGATGTGCTAAAGAAATTGAGTTTTTCAAGTGTGTATTCTAACTGTAGCCTCAGTTCTTTGGAGTCCTCCACTGTAAAATATTGCTATTCCCTACCTACTTCCGTCTTTGCAAAATGCCTTAAAAAGTTGTCCTGGCTTCAGCAGAAGTCATTTTTCTCCTTCTCAGTAGCTGTTGCAGTGCTGTGTTCTTGACTTTCAGCCTGGGAACAGTGCTGATAACACCAATGTTTTCAGTTGTTGCTAAGTCATGTTTACTCTGACCAAGGACTTTCTGAGTCTTATGCTCTGCCAGGGAGGAGGGGAAGCCAGGAGGAAGCAGAGGTAGGACAGCTGACCCAAACTAGCCAAAGAGGTATTCCATACCACAGCACGTCATGCCCAGAATGTAGAACTGGGGGCAGTTACCCGGAAGGGTTAGATCACTGCTTAGTTGTGCTGGGTATCGGTTTTCGGGTGGTGAGGGGTTGTATTCTCTTCCCTTGTTATTTCCCTTATCATTATAGCAGTAGTGGTTTTCTGTTATACCTTAGTTACTGGACTGTTCTTATCTCAACTTGTGGGAGTTACATTCTTTTGATTCTCGTCCCCATGCCTCCAGGAGCGGGAAGAGGAAGGGGGGGGAGTGAGTGAACGGCTACATGGCACTGAATTACCGGCTGGGCTTAAACCAGGACAAAAGTAAAGAAACATTGCCCCCAGGCTTTATTATCCATGCCTTTATAAATACAAGAAAACAACAATCATAGAATCATAGAATAGTTAGGGTTGGAAGGGACCTTAAGATCATCTAGTTCCAACCTCCCTGCCATGGGCATATTGCAGTCATAACAGAAATGTTGTAGTAACAATTTAATCTTTAAGTATTTACTCAGTATACAAAAAAATTATAGACTTGATTCTCATTTACATTATTATTATTATTATTAGGTAGTATGACTATAGGGTATATGTAAACCAAACCCATGTTTTACCACTAACTGGTAATTATATGGTACTGAATATTTCTTGTGTAATAATTATGTAGTCAGCATGTTAATCCTTGTGCATAAATTTATGAAGTTATTTCTTGACACTGCATCAATCTTTATAATAAGTATATGTAAGAGCTTTTGGTTTTAAAAAGAATTCCTTTTCCTTTTTATTTTTCTATTTTTTTACTGTAAAGTTTCTCTTTTGTTGTGTTACAACAGCATGTAATGACTACATTGGAGCCACTGTGGTTTGTAAAGAGAGTAATATGCTTTTATTTTTAAGTAATAGCACGACATGAACATCAAATTATTTGGTTGCGATACTTCCTTAAGTCCCCGCGTTTTTTTGTTTGTTTGATCTTTTACTAGTCATACTGAAATAACTCAAATTTGCAAACTATGGCTAGAAAACAGTCCTAAAAACAGTCTTCCTTTTCAGATTTTTTTTTAAAAATCACTCCCTTCCTAATTGGATAGTATATGGACAATCTAGTTACACTGTATTTGGGAACTTTACAATTCAGTTTCTGAAAGCCGGAATTATACAGACACAGGTGAAAATAAATTATAATTTTGATCGGCTTAGATGATTATCTGTACATCTAAATATCATAAAAATCTGGTCTATGGCTTTGATAATTTTTTTATTTTCTGCAGTGCATTTCCTGATTCAAAATAATACTCAGATGCATTATAGTTAAGTCCAAATTGCATTTAAACATGAATTATTACCTAAGATCCTATTAGGATGAGCACCAAAAACATTCTGTTTAAGGGATTTTGAAAATGATACTTCTGAATTATCTGATCAACTATTTTTGTGAATTTTTTGTGACTTATCTGATCAGCTAGAATTTCTGTTACCATGTAAAGCCAATGCCCTTCCCTTTCCAGCAAGAGCTGGATATCTGTATCTTTCAATAGAAAGTTATGAAGCTTCTAAGGTCTTTGTCTTTTCTCTAGAATATTGTCATCTGCCACATTTTTTGATCTATCAATTATGAAACAAAACCCAACACTAAGAAAGATAGATTAAAGAGTGCTCTTCCCCCATGCACTCTCCCCCCCATGTTTACCCATGCTCCAGTGACATTTTTTTGTAGAAAACCTGTCCCCTGCAAGCTAACTTTTGACATATAACAATCCTTTTAATGATAGTTTTATTAAATACCAGTTTCAACAAACATTTTGAAACATTTTTATCTCAGACAAGAAGAATAAATTCATGACAAAAAGCATATTTTGTCCATTTTGTCCATTTCCCCTGCGTTTCCAAACACTCTAGAATAGGCAAGTACCGCAGCTTTTTGAAGAACTATGTAGAATTTATTGGTGTGGGGTAACCAAGTATATTCTTATTGGGCCTCTTCCCACATATGGCTAGTCTTCATGGCTAAAACAAGTGAGAAGAGAAAAAGGAATGTCTGAATTGATGTGTACAGACAGGTTCAGCTCATGGGTAGGCACCTGCCATAGACACTGCTACCTAGGTTGCTGATGTTGATCAGAATTTGAACTAAACTAAAAATCAGGGTCTTGTGATGGCAAATACCAGGCAATTTTAGTAATACATCTGGTTGTTCTATACCCCACATTCTTCCCAGTCAGTAAGCTAATCATCCTGAAGAACACAGTTTGAAAGGGTTATTTCTTAAAAACAGGTATTGTGGACAAGTGTAAATTGTGGTTCATACTGAGATGGCCCTGGGATAGATGCCATCTACCCCACAGGCACAAGTAGCAGAAAGCACATGGGGACTCAGGTAGGGGAGGGGTGGATGCAGTTGTTACTCAGCAGCATATCTGAAGGGAACGTGTATAGGCAGCTTTGTCTTTTGTGCTGCCTTTTCAAACTGAGTCGATAATGCCAGTGTCGGTTTCAAGTGAAGCGTGTGCAAGAGTATAGATAGCTAGCAATGGCATTTGAGAGCCGTTAATTGTGAAACTTGAGAAGAAAATGTGCACATTCTTTTTCAGAGTGGTATTCGAATGATGGCCTTTTTATCCCAGAACACTGTGGGTTTCACTTTTGTTCTCTTCCCACATAAAATGCATGGAGTGCACTGAGTCTCTTTCACTTGGCAGCTTATATATTGCATTCTTTGCAGGGACTGCTTTGGCTTGTTAAAATGTACCCCATGTATTAAAATGAAATTGTCACTGCTGTGTGGTGCAACATAACATGGTTTGACATCAAGTGCCTGCAGCTACAGAAAACAGACTTTTATTGCATTTATTCTTTCAGAGACAAGAGTCTCTAAAGGCTCAGTGCAGACAGTCGCTTAGTTAAATCTGAATGAAGCCTAAGTGAACAATCTAAGTTTCTGTCTTTTTGTGTTTGTAGAAATGGCCCAGCCCACAAAATATGCAGTGATATGACCTGGAAGGGACAATTTTTAATGATTCAAATCAGGATTTGTTTTTTAATTTATTTTTTTTTCTTGGTGGTAGTGGGGGTAATTCCTTTGAACCCTTGAGGACAAACTACTGCTCTATGTGAGCCACTCTTTCCCAAAACCATGTAACAAGAGGGGTGGTGGATAAATTAATTTTAAAAATATCTAGACTGGTGAGAAGTAAGCAATATTTATGTCACTGGAGTTACTTTGCAGAGAGTACCTGTAAGCACTGGTGTATTGAAGGAACATTGAACATGTTTTTTAATACAATTTTTCTAAGAAAAACGAAACCAGTGTGATTTTCCTTTTCTTTTTGCTTGCTTATTGGCTTTTCATTTCTTTCTTTCCTCTGTTTGAATTTTCTATAACACTCTGTAGCAAATTGTATCAGTTGTTCTATGACCTAGTGTGCGGGCAGTTTACAAGACCTGAATGGTGAATTCCCAGATGTGGTATAAACATGGTTTGGGATTTGACTAGCAGCTTTATATTCTTTGCAGTTCCGTCAAAAATACGTGTACCAGTTCATTGTTAATGCTTTAATTTCTGAAAGTTATCTTGAGGTCATAGGAGATAGACAGTAAGGCATTTCACCTACCAGTATTACATGTAAATTAGTCGTCATGCAAAATTTAGCTTTATGTTGTAATAGGCATATATGCATTGTCTTTGCTATACAGTCTGTCTTTGCAGGTTATTTTTTTAACATTGTAAACCTTAATAATTGTTGTTTAATCCTATGGGGTCTTCTAAAAATCATGTGTTTTTTTTTTTCTTCATGGTATTTGAAGTTATTTTTGGTGCACAAGGCATCTAGAAACACGTCCTTTGCCTTTCCAAGCAGCACATGAGAGCATAAAGAATGTCCTTGTTCAGGGTGATCCCCCAGAGACAAAGGGGACTGTTCATTGACACTTCCATGGCTCACACACAGCCGGGAGCACAGCTGCAGGCTTTGAGGGTGGCAGGTCCTTCTCCCAAGCCACACCATACCGTAATGAGCTCAACCAGTTTCTCCGCAAGAACAGCTTTGAAGATACCTCTCAGCATCTGTGCTTGTGCTTTTTTTCTCCTTTTGCTTTTTGTTGTTGCTGACTGAGCACTTTTATAGCAGCCTAGTAACATGAATTGCATCTGCCCCCATCCCACTTTCTTCTCTTTTCTAGGATGGAGTCTACAGAAAAATGTGAAGTAGTAATTCAACATTTTAATGGGAAATATCTGAAAACCCCACCCGGTCTACCAGGTAAGTCCAGCCATCATTATAATGTTTAAAATTCACTGAAGAGTTTAGAATACAGAAATGCTGGAATTTCTCTATCCTGTGTGAGCATGGCTTATATTACCAGCCCAGCTAAGAGGGTGAACCTCCCTTTTAGAAGCCTATCCTTAATGACCTGTAGCAACTTCCTCCTTGACCAAGTTTGTATTATTCAGACATTTATGCCTGACAGCAGTGAATTTAAGTACATATAAGAATTGTGTTGTCCTACTGCATTTTTTTATTTAAAATACTTATATTTGATTTTTTTTCCAATTAGAGTGAAGGCCACGTAAGTAAATGCTGGTGCTTTTCAAACCAACTAGATCAGCAACTGCATTATAGTTATAAAAGCACCAGGATTTCAGGTTACAGTAATTTTGTGTTCTTTACAGTTACTAGTTGAAGTTACTAATATTAACAGCTATTGCTGTTAATATTAACTGAGGATATTTCAGATATGAAGTGATTTTATACCATTTGTACTAGCCATAACTTAATGAAATGCAGCCATTTTCTGATACTACCTGCAGAATTCATTCATTGGTGTGTCCATGCCACATTGAAAGGCAATTTCCAGGCAGTAGGTTGCTTTAGAAATCTTCTGCTGTCATCTATGTGGCCATCAGCTGTGCAAAGTTTAGTTATCAGTTGCCTGATTCTTAGTGTTTGACAAGGCCTCCCCAAGGCCACAGATCTGCAATGATTTCTCCCTCATATTTTCTGAAAAGCTATGTTAAGTGAGCAGGAAATCTTTGCAAGAATTGCATCCTAAGTTATTACCTTTTTTTTTTTTTCTTTTTGACTTCCAGTAAACTGTTTCCTCTTTTTAGTTACTTTCATTAAATTCCTCCTTATTCATTGCCTGGTTCTTTATGCAGAAGATGTACTAAATAATTAAGAGAGAGCCATCTGAACAGCTACTGTGTACAGTAATTAAATGCTGCAATGTACATATAAATTTTAGTCAAATCACCTTCATGAAAGAATATAACACTTGTGGTACAAGCTGCAAGACTCCATTCAATGGATTTCTTTTGAAAAAGTAATCAATTTTTCTCGACACTAATGCACTACAGCACCAGCTTGGTGAAGTACAACAGACTTGGGCTGCATAGGACAATGGGCAAAGCAACATAGGCGGAGACCCTCAAACCTTTCTGTATGCATACATTGAGTCCCAGTAGTAATCTGTTTAATATAGCAACACCCAATGGAAAGAGTGTGAATAGCAAGAAGTCAGTAAGTGCAGCTTTGCCATTAAAACCCTTCATGCTCCATGGTCACATTCCTGGTTGTCTCAGAAAGGACACATCATTTGAGCCAGAAATAAAGCCGAATGTTCTTGCAGTGCCTGCTTGAGATAAAAAGGGTACGTAGTAAAGAATGAAAACTAGAAGCTGAAAATCTTATATTTTTTATTACATTTTTAAATTAATCAGGAATATATTGGGTATTCAACATCAGCAATGTGGGACATCAAAATAGGAGTCTTGAAAAGATAGCATGATAACTTTTGTTCCCAGGGATACACTGAAATTGGATTTCAATGTTTATAACTTTTGCTGCTTTCTCAGTTAAAGGACATGAATCAACTTTTAGTTTCCTGAAGAAGGTGTCCATGTGGGAAAATTTTCTACCATGTTTCTCTCATGATTGTTGTGGTCAGATGGCGTTTAGTTGCAAGGATGAGCTGGAAAGTAACTATTTTGAGTTTTCATTTACCTAAGTACAATTCAGATGCAGATCAAGCATAATGCTTGGGGCAAAGCCACTGAACCAGCAACTGCACTCACTCAACTATGCATTAGATATCTGCAAGATCCCATTTATCCTCTGTTTTTGGAGGGCAGATTTTGTAGCTCCCAACACAGATAATTAGAAATTATCATAGGGTATTTGATCCACATGAAAGAGAATATTTATGCCTTATTATTAGAGTAAGGCCTTTTTCAAATCCATGTTTAAAAGACTTTTTGAATTCCTCCCTCCTCTTCTTCAGAAGCCGGAGGGCAAACATGATCGGTTGAGCAGTTGTGTCAATTCAAGTGATACTGACCACTCATACTTACTTAACTTTCATCCAGTGCAAAAACCACTCAGTCTTAGTTTCTTCCTCTTGATGTAGATTCCTGATAGACCTTCTACTCAGTTTACTGATCTGTGCTGTGAACCTGTATTTAAGCCTCTGTTCTGGGTTCAGCAGTAGCAGTCGTTTTTCTCTTTCTTAGTAGCTGGTGCAGTGCAGTGTTCTTGACTTTCAACCTGGGAACAACGCTGATAACACCAATGTTTTTAGTTACTGCTCAAATGTTTAGTCTGACCAAGGACTTTCTGAGTCTTGTGCTCTGCCAGGGAGAAGGGGAAGCTGGGAGTAAGCAGAGACAGGACACCTGACCCAAACTGACCAAAGAGGTATTCCATACCACAGCACGTCATGCCCAGGATGTAACGGAGAGTTACCTGGCTGGGCTGGCTCACTGCTCAGTCAGACTGGGTATCGACAGGTGGTGTTGTATTCTCTTCCCTTGTTATTTCCTTTATCACTGTTATTATTGGTGGCAGCAGTAGTGATCTGTGTTACACTTTAGTTACTGGGCTGTTCTTACTCAAGCTGTGGGAGTTACATTCTTTCGATTCTCCTCCCCATCCCTCCGGGAGGGGGGGTGGGGGGAAGAAAGGGGGAGAGTGAGCAAGAGGGCTGCATGGCTGACTTACGGCCTGGGCTTAAACCACGACAGCCTCTCAGCAAATATAGAAGCATCTTGCTTTATCCCCTTCCTGGCAGTTGCTTATCTTCCTGTATGCAGAAGGAAGGAAAATCAGGTCTCCTGGTTTACTTGGAAAGTCACAATCAGAGTCTGAAAATTATCCTACCAGCATCCTAGTAATTGGCATAGAAAGAAAATCATCTCTAGTTATTGCTGTGACCTCTTTATGGATTTCAGTTAAAAAATGCGGAACCAGAGAACATTAGTAGAAGTATGCAACACTAGCTGTTATTAACCTCTACTGCTCAAAGACATGATCTTACTGTGAGAGAAAATTAATCAATCCTTTTAGGGTTAAATTAAATTGATTTAGGATTTTCAGCTGTACTTCTTTTAGACATAGCATTGAACTGGGAGGGCTTTATATGTTTGTCCAAATCTCCTCTCACCCAAACTCTGATGTTTTGGTTCAGGCTTGCCAGCTAATAAGAGGTTGTATGAAGCCCATCAAGAAAAAAGAATCAGCCTGACTGTAGGCTATTTTGTACAACCTACCCTTGTTCCTGAGGCAGTGAGACTACGGACCAGACACACTGGTTTGGCAGCTATCTTCCATCCATGCTGGCTTCCCCAGTTCCCTGAGATGTGATCCTGGTGACGTAGGGTATATGTGTGGGGACACCATGTCTGTAGGATAAAGGGTTCATGTTGTGGGTCTGGTTTTGCCTGGTTATCAAGTCATGATGGAGGAAGGACTGAAGTAGGTAGCTTCAATGTGATGTTGAACAGCCCATCAGAAAGACTAGGGAACATAAGAGTAGCTTTCATTATGAATCAGCAGTGGGCCATGACTCAATTCCTCCCAAATCCTCCCAAATAGTTATCTCAAACACTCATTTTGAATACAGAGCTCTTTTCCAACTAGTGTCTCCTTGGCAAATGAAATGTAAGTTTGACTGGATGTGGGGTTTGGTGTGGGTTTTTTTGTTTTTGGAGTTGGCTTTTTTTCTTCTTGTTTTTGCTTGTTTGTTTGGTTTTGGGGGGGAGTTGGTTGGAATTTGGGTTTATGGTTTATTTGGTTTGGGTTTGTTGTGGTTTTGGTTTTTTTGTTTGCTTGTTTGGTTGGTTTTTGTGGATTTTTTTTGGGGGGGGAGGTTTTGGTGTTTGGGTTTTTGTTGTTTTTTTTTTAAATTTTGTTTTGTTTTGCTACTTTGGAGGGTTTTTTTTTTAAATAAAATAGAAATTCCAGGAGAATCACTGCTGTGTACCTGGATGTTTGGGCATATCCAGGAGTCACACATCTAAGCTGACCCAGGCCAACAATAAGTCAGGAAAGAGTAAAGCAGTGTTGTATCTGCAAGGAAAGAAAGAGCACAGAGAGTACTCTGGAGATTCTGCATTCTGTGTGTTCTCAAGGCAAAAAAATGTCATTACTTGTTTGACTTTCTAACTTCAACTGCTGTCTGTTGTCTCTTAAAAAACGTGGAGCTGAACGCTGGCAGCTCCAGACCACCAGTGACAATGTAAAGGTTATTTTCTGCCACTTGAAACATTTTGCTGGTCAGATGTAAATTGAGCAATACTTTGTCTATGTTAGTGAATTGTTCTCCTTAGGGGTGCTTCTCTATCCAACTACTTGGCTTCGTTCCATTCCAAAGGGAATTGCTCCACTGTCCTCCTTGCTCAACTAACAAGAATTTCATCATGTTCAGTACTGTACAAAATAATTGGTTATCACATAAATAATTAGTTAATATCTGCATTTCTTCCATACTGAGGAAGTACATTTCTCCAGAAATCTGGAAACTCTCAGTTCTTGGCAGATTCCATGTGAATTTCATAAATATTCTGATTAGCTTTGAGTGATTATTTTTAGCAGGTTTTTGTGTTTGTTTTTGTTTTCCTTTTATTAGCACTGCTTTTCTGAGCTAAATAGACCAGGGCCTACTGTGTATATTTTCTTCCTATAGAGAGTGCAGCCCCACACAAAACTAATTGTACAGGCCCTGCATTGCCACTCTGAAAGAGAAGTCAGAAAATGAGTTCATCAGACTATAGCACTGTACATCTCCACCAAGACGTGAAAGGCACTGCTAATGATGAAGGTAGCTCACTGTCAGTCTTTCAGTGCTGCATCTCTGTTGGTGAATAGGGGACTTTAAAGGAAATCCTGCTAATCTATCACATTTTGCAGTCACTAAATTAATGTAAAATTTCCTAGCAATTCTATCAGTAACAAATTGATTTCTCTTTGGATGGGCTAGCTTGGGGTAC